AACAAATGAAAAAGTTCTACACAGAAGAATTATAGTCAAAAAAAAAAAAAAAAAAAAAAAAGAAAAGAAAAAAGAAAATCACCAGTTTGCAATCTATGGAAAACTGATTCAGGTAATGGTAATAATCAATGTCTGGTGAAACCATTAAGCTAAATGTTGATGGGCAACTTAAGGAATCCGGGTGTCACCAGATGAGCCAGTGATGAAGCATACCACCAAAATGACATAACAAGTCACCACGCACTTCTTGCTAGGATGTGATAGGAAGAATGGGGCACCACACATCAGGAATCCTTGCCAAGGGTTTTTTCCCACTCCTCACCCTTAGGCTATAACTTTGAAACTCCATAGGGGTGTGAAAGAAATTTCATGAGGAAAAAAATTAGTCCCTTTGTTTTCCTAACCCAGGAAACTCCATTAAACTTTTTGAAAACGCTACCATGGAACTGAAATTTCACCTTCTGCCTTCTTTACTGGGTAGCCTAGGGTTATGGTTTGGATCTGAAATGCTCATGTGTTGAAGGCTTGGTCCTCAAAGCAGCAGTGTTGAGAGGTGAGGCCTTTGGAAAGTGACTGGATGAAGAGGGCTCTAATCTCAGCAATGGATTAATCTACTGATGGATGATAAAAGTGAGTGTTCTCTCTGCTTCCCAGCCTTGCTCTACCTGTGTTCCCAGCCATGAAGTTCTACAGTGCCACATGGAAATGGAGCCAAGTAACTATAGACTGCAAACTCTGAAACCATCAGTCAAAACAGACCTTTCCTCTTTTTAAGTTGTTGCTCTCAAGTGACAGAAAGCTAACTAACAGAATGAATCAAAGGGGGATAATAAACCTATTTTCTTGAATATAGTTCATAGTTCAAATATAAGAGTGGAGTGGTTAGGATCAAAGCATAGCAGAGGATAGTTCTGACCCCAGCACCCCGGATTATGGGCCCAGAACAGTTACTCCTATTGCAACACTCTGCTCTAGGCACAGGGTCTTATCATTCACTCCTCCATCTGCTTCTTCAGCTGCATTTCACATATCCACAGCAGCCACCTCATGTGGTGATTTCGTGAGCCTTCCTCACTACTCAACACGCAAAAAAAGGGTAAGACAATCATTTTCTTTTGCTTCATTTTTTCCTTTTATTTTAACTTTTCTTTATTTTGCTGCCTTTATTTTTTCCTGTTACTTTTATTCAATTCTATTAATTTTTCTTTTACTCCTTAATACAACCCGTTACCTCACTCTTCTCTCATCTTCCACTACTTAATCTTTCAAATTTTACTTCTTCATTCCCATTTCCTACTCCCTCTATCCTTACGAGTATACCATGAAGCTTTATTAATCTTCAGTTAGATAACTCAATGTTATTACTGCTGAATTTTTTTCTGTTGTTAGTGGAGTATAGTTGTTGCATTTAGTTCATATTTACTGTATGTAAATATTTGGTTGTCTTAGATAAACAGATACTTTCTACCCACTGTCCACCTACTTGTAGCTGTCCTTAGATATGGGGGTGATCAAATTTACCAAGGCAGACTCAGAGGCCAGGAAAGCATAGTGACACAGCTGGTCAATGAGATCTGTCGGACCCTGGAGCCCCTACTCTTTCTACTTTCTACTGCCCAGTGGGGTCTGGACCCTGTACTCTTCCCTGTGTAAGTGGATCATTCTCCTCCAGCCATATCTAATGGAAATGAAAGCATTAAAGATGCCTATTCTCTTTTCAGATAGTTTGTTTTCCTAGGAAGATGGCCCAAGTTCCCAGGTGGAAGCAGTGAAGAAGAAAATTCAGGCCTTATGACTCCAGGTCCAAGAACGATAATATTTTCACAGTTAGGTTCAAAGTAAATGTTGTGGAAAGAAAACTATCAAAATAATATTTACAAAGAAAGTTCTGAAGCTCAAGGCAAAAACCTGGGCTCTCACATCTGACACGACACTCTTCAAAGTGGCAAAGCTATGACACAGCTAGCTGGAGAAGCGCCCTACCTGAGTGAAGTACACCCTGGATGAGTTGGCACCCAGGAGCTTGCTCTCAATGTGTTGCTGCACCCGCTCTAGGATGCTCTCCTCATGAAGAAAGTGAACTTCATGTTTTGTGGGGTGCACATTGACATCCACATTCTGGGGGCTGATTTCTAAACTGGCAGGAAAAAAAGAGCACAATTACCTCAGAATGAGCAGAATCGGGGGAAAACCCACACACGGTACATGTGTTCAGATGATCGGGGAGGCCAAATGACAGTGGTCAAAACCTCATGGTCAAGTCTGAGTGGCTGTTCAAATGCTGGCTCTGCCACTTAAAAACTGTGTGGTTTTGGATAAGTTACATTATCTTTCTTTGCTTATTTTTTCATTTATAAAGTGAGCATAACAGCACTAGCTATCTTACAGGTTTACAGTGGGGGTTAAATTAAGGAAAAGCGATTTGCATGTATCTGACAAATTTATTTTATGATACTGTCATTAGCATTCTAAAACTAGGTTCTTAGTATGTGACCGCCAGCAACTCACTTACCTTCCTTGGATGTTTTCTCATCTATAAAAATAAAGTAACCATCAATCTGCTCCCTATTCTCTTTTTAGTATTATAAGGATCAAAATGAGAATAAATGGAAGTGAACTTTCTACCATTAAAATGTAATTCAAGAGTCAGTTCAGAGGCTGTGCCAGCTATTAATTTATTGCCCTTCTCCCAAGTCCATTCTTTATTGCTTATTCTAATAATGGAGCTTTCTGATGTGAGGTATTGTCAGTAGAGTGGTAGAAGAACACTGGAAGAGGAAGTGGGTTTTGTGCCAGGTTTGGGTCCACATGGTCCCTTCTTATGGGCAGTATTCCCAGCAACCCCTTAAAGTAGTGACTGGGGAGAACCTTATTGACCTCTCCTCCATGGAGTGAGCCACAGCTATACCCTCTTCAACAAGCTTCATCTCAGCCCAGAAGGGGCTGAGGGAGAATGTGGCAAGGGGGCTTTACCTCAGCCATAGTAGTAATGGGTGCTCCTGACACCTGCACACCCTGTCACTTCACTTCTTCTCATTCAATCTCCTTTTACTCTAACCCCATTTGTAGTTTTTTTATTTAATTTTTTCTTCAAATTGTAATATGGTTTCTATCCTCCATTTAGACCCTGATAATAGAGATGGAACAACGTGATAACTCAATCAAGCAAAGGAATACACATGGGAGTTAACACATCTAAAGTAAAAACTACTTTTAACTATGTTATTTTAACCCTTCTCTGTTAAGTGCTAAATTTATGATTGCTAAGTTATTTAAGTGAACCACTGGGCAATCAAAAATAGTTATGCTACACAAATAATCTCCATAAATCAAAAGACTCATTCATGGAAGAAAAATTATGCTATTTACCTGTGAGAAGGGACAGAATATCTTTTTGCCAATAGTATACGAGATTCACTAATTTTGGTTCTTAGCTATGAGCAAGCCCTCCCTCCTCTTTCACAGAGGACAGCCTGATAGAACTTCTGTTCTTTTAGGTCTTGGGTAAGGAGTTTGATGTTCTATTACCTGAGGTATAGGAACGGGTGTGTGTTTTTGGGCAAATATGCTGCATACACTGTTTCTATGGCTTTTCTCATTGAAGTTGATTCTACCAGACGATCTAAAAAATGAGAAAAAAAAAATTAGATAAAAATTGTTCTTAGGGATGAGACCACAAGTGCAGAGCCATATGAAGCCATAAATCACCACAGTAAGAGTGATCCAGAGTGATACAACAGATGCCCAGGAACAAAGGCCCTCTTTATGCATCATCACTTCCAAGCATCTCACGACAGCCCTGGAAATTTCTCCTCATCAGGTAGCAGAAAAGAGGAAAGGGTAAGAAATTCTGCCTCTGCACCCTCCCCCCAGTCAGTCCACAGTGCATTCTCATATTTTTCATTCTATAAAAACATGCCAGCTACTTCTCACATGTGCCAAGTGCTGGGAAACACTATGCTGGTAAATATTTTCAAACCCAAGTGGTCACCACTATTACAGAGAAGTGTGTGCTAAATGGTGGAATGAGTGAGCAGCTAACTCTGCCCAGGAGTTCCAACAATAGGGTATCCATGCTAGGCAATGAAAGAGAGGAGAGAGTTTTCCAGAATTTCAGGTAATATATAAATGGCTAAATGTATGTTTAAGGTAATTTAGGAAATGACTCAGGTCTGAATGGGGTAGCAAACCATAAAGACTAGGAGAAGTAAGACTAAAAGTAGAGGAAGATCAGCTGGACATGGTGGCACATACCGGCAATCCCAGCACTCGGGAAGTTGAAGCAGGAGGTTTGCTGTGAGTTCGAGACCAGCCTGGGCTACATAGTGAGCTGTTCCAGGTCAGTCACAACTACACAGTAAGACCCTGTCTCAAAAAAACAAACAAAAAGCAGAGGAAGATCTGTTTTCAGAAAACAGTTCTCCTTTAGCGCCAGAAAGATTTTAGATGACTGGCTGATGATCTGTCGTCTTGTGTAATTGTAATCACATCTTTGTATTTTCAATGATGAGAGTAGCTGTGATCTTATTGATGGAGAGACTATTATTTGAGTGCTCACCACATCCTCTGCCTCTTCAATAATGTCCTTGTTCTCAGTAACACATGTCCTGACTACACAGGCCTGGAGCACGTGTGGGAAACTGACAAAAGGACAGCTGGAGCCCGTCTGCTGAGATGTCTGAACTTGAGACAGGCTGAAGGAGTACTCTGTGATCTAGGTGAGCCTGCAGGGTGTACAGATAAGTAAGGACAGGTATGCATAAAAAATCCAGCCTCTCTTTATGACTGGGAAGTTGACACTGTGAACAGATAAGCTGAAGTACTGTGGTAAGCAGCCCCAGTAGAAACACAGTCACAGGACAGTCAGATGGCACTTACACTGATTTTTGTTTGTCTACTTCAGAGCCAGACTGTGTTGCAAAGCTGTCAGTCTTTATGGTTGAGAAGAACTAATAAAAACATTTTCTGAGCCTTCTATGTAACAAATTTTACTATACATATATGAGGCTGAAGCCCTTCTACTACAGTAGCAAAAAAACCCTACTAATACAATTGACTTTACAATATCTATCTATAAAATGACTGTTTTTCTCCTCAGTCTTCCTGTATTGTTTTGAGTAACTGCTATAAAATATGCATTACTAGATATTTATAGCTGGTTAAGTGCTAAAATGGGAAGGAGGAATATATTATTTCTTGTACTAAACAAATAAAAACTATAAAGTTATAAAATGCTTTAAAACAATAAAGGTAAATATCCCATGAGACAAAAAACAATGAAAACTGAAGACATGGAAAGGTGCATCTTATTTTTGTACGGAAAAATGGAAAATTAAGCCAGATTCGGGTAGAATTATTTGTTGTTTCTCTCATTATCAAAACTCCGCAATATATAATTAAGTTCTAAAGCAGAATGCAAAATAGTATGTACTTAGTAAGAATCATATAAAAAGTATGTCAATACAGAGATAAGGACAAGAAGCAAAAATGGGAAAAATCTAAACTCATTAGTTAATTACCTCCCTGAAACTGCTCTTGAAATAATAAATTTCATTATCAATAAGGAAAAATCGTACCCAGGTATGGGGGTGCTGCCTAATCCCAGCACTCTGGGAAGCTGAAGCAGAAGAATGGCAAGTTTGAGCTCAGCCTAGGCAACTTAATGATTTACCAAGACCCTGTGTCAAAATAAAAATATAAAAAAAGGCTGGGAAAAAAATGGAAACAAAGTCTTTATAAATAGGGAAGGGTAGAGGGGGTGAAGGAAGAGCAGGGGGAAAAATAAGAACAAAGATATATCATGTAAAGGTACACGATCCCAATAATGAGTGTAACTGTATTGTATACCTAAAATGTACCAATAAACTTAATGAAAAAGAAATCCATTTTCTTTGAGGAATCGGTGAACCACAGAGAAATTTGTCAGTAATCATTGTATTATTATTTGTCAGTAATCATTGTAATCATTAGTCTCTATGAGTAGGCACAACAATTTTACACTCACAGGAAATATTGCAGGGAAACCAACTCAAGATAGAGAAAAAGATTGGGTGCTGTTGTGTATGTATTTCTGTAAATATGTAATAATAGGTTTCAAATTAAAGACAAGTCTGAAAAAATAAATAAGGGGGGGGATGTACTTCAGTGTAAGCCCTGAATTTATTCTCTAGAGCGCAAAAAAAAAAAAAAAATTTAAGGATCTTAGCTTTCAATTTCTTTAGTGACAGTAACTTTATCCAAGGTATGCCTCTTATGTTTTTTTTGTGGGGGGGGGTACTAGGGATTGAACTCCGGTCCTTGCGCTTGTAAGGTAGGCAGCAGAGCCACTGAGCTAAATTCCTGGCCCCTTCTCTCTGTGTTTTGATGTGCAGTATCAAATGTTAGCCTTTAATCTAAGAGCAGAGGAAAGCTCTGCTTAGGAAGTGCTTCTTCTTCTTTTTTTTGGTGGGTATCGGGGATTGAACTCAAGACCTTGTGCTTACGAGGCAGATGCAGTGCCACCAAGCTAAATCCCCAGCTATAGGATTTGCTTCTTAAACATCTTAATTTTAGCAGGTAAGAAAGGTATACTGACTCATAGAGGCCTGAGATGCCACCATAGGACAAAAATTAGAAATTCTTGCTAATCAAACTAAACTTTGGCTGAAATTCCAGGTTTCCATAAAATTCTCTATGTATAATATACTCCCACTTTAGTTCTTTTTCACTTACGGTTGATGAAGAGTAAGAAAATGCACTTCTTCACCGAGTAGTTTGCATTAGATATGTAGCCATTCATTTTGAAAGCCAGAGTTTTATCCTCACACCCGACTTCTATTAGTTCTCTAGTTAAAAAAGAGAAATCATGAGACTTGAGAATACTGGAAAACTCAAATGTTATAAAAGAATCAGAAAATGCAAGGCTTCTTCCCTTAAACTTTGCCACATGAAGACCTCAGAGACTTGATTCAATGAGCTTTACTGTCCATCTACCCACCCACCCACCCACTTACCAACCAGTCAGTGCCTTAAAGTACTTATGCCTTTGTGCCAGGCACTACTATCACGGCTGGAATATGATGAGTCTAAGCCCTGGGACCTTATTTTGCTGAAAGTTTTATATATCTTAGTAACTAAGATTTTCGAGAAAAACTCCTCTCTACTGAATTACCTTACTATAATGAATAGCACTAAAAGGAAGTTCCAGTATGGAGTTGCCCAGAATGTTTATTGAGAGAAAGTTTAAGTGAAGAAATGGACAAACTACACTTATTTCTGACTGAAGGGCTTCCCAAGAGCTGGTCCGTAACCCTGGAGAGCTCTACTTCTAAGATGATGTCAGCTAGTTAGTTCCTATTTATCATTTATATCTCAAGAATTATTTCTTCACAGAGTCTTCTATGGCTATCCCTCTCTTACTTTACAGCAGTGATGGTGAACCATTTAGAGCTGTCAATGATACGAACAGCCCACTGTGGCACACGTGCCATAGGTTTGCCACCACTGCTCCAGAGATTCACCCATCATGCCCAGTAGTCTTCCTTTGAAGAAGTAAGCACAATTTGCTAATGAATATTGAATCATCTCATGTGTCTTTTCAACTACAGATTCCTCTGAGGGAAAGAATAATTCGTTTTACTTACTAGTGTATCTCTTCCATGTGGCACAGAACCTATAGCTGCACTCACTAAGGGCTTGCTGGATGGATGGTGGGAGCTTTACCTACACTAATGTGACCTCTGAATATCAGCTTGCAGTGTTTCACACATACGATGAACCAGTGAGCCCTTAAAATGTCTCAAGAGGTCAGTGTCCTAGTAACTTTCTTTGGAAAATGCTGCTCCTACAGATTTCTAATCTCTGACAGTCTCTAGGAATTTTCCTAGTTTTGAATCTTAAAAATTTAGTCAAGCTCTTCAGTGTTACACTGTAGAATACAGGTATTCCCTTACTTTGGAAAAAGAGCTTTAAAAATTTTATTTATTTACACTTAATGAAAAAGAGAGGGCAGTCACAAGTAAATTAGTTATGACCTAATTGAGAACTTGGTTTGGCTCAAGAATGAATAATTTGTTCTTCAAAGTAAAAATTGGTACTATCGCATTTTCTATTCATTTGTGTATCCACAGTACCTTGTACATGCATGGCATATAATAGAGTCAGTATTCTTCCCTTCAGATTATGACACTGGCACTTTGGGTTTTCTAAAGTCCTGATGTGTAGCTGGGAATATTTGATGGAAATGGTAGTATTTACATGCAGATACTCTTGGGGGTACTAAAAGGAATCTATATACTAGTAAGTTTCCCTACTAGCCCTTCCTTGATAATGAAGACTTGGTGATACTTCCAAGTCTAGTCTTTGAGGGTCAGAAGTAATTTGTCTTTATAGCCTCGACTTCTAGCACAAAATCTGGAATATGGGAGACAATTAGTAAAATAGAGTAAGTGAAATCCTAAAGTGATAACAGTGGAAATAAGAAGAAAAGCAAAAGCTTTTGACAATGACAGAATTTTACATTATAAATATTTTGAAGAGAAACACCTAGAGAACATGGTTATTTACAACTATAACATCTAAAAGACAACATGCACCCATTAACACATTTGAAGCATGAAGTCCGCATATTTGATTAAAACAAACTCTTAAAGCAAGTGTTATCCTGGCAGATTCCAAGATAATGCAGCTGGATGTTAAATCAAGGCAATGAATGCAAAGTATTTTTTTATATGTAGGTTATCAACATACCGGCTAACAGCATTTCCAAAGATGGAGCGAATGTTGTCCACAATCGTGGCACTGGATAGTGTTCTGATGTCAGCAACTGTCTCACCTTGCTGATAAAAGAAGACACAATGACTATGTCTCACAGTTGTGACAAATTATTAAAAATCTTGTTTCTTTTCCATCCCTCAATAATCAGAACTTACTTTCTTAACTGAGAAACTAACACCTGAGTTGTGTATTGAATACCTGGAAAGAAAAACAAAATGAAAGATAAGCAAAGACTAACAAAATGCACAAGACATGTCAGAGCCCCCTTGTAGTTAACTGAATTGGTAAACTAAGCAATTTAAGCAAAGATATATATGTGTGTGTGCGTACACACACACACACACACACACACACAGGTTGTTGACTAGACTCAAGATATCTATCTCAGCAGTCTCTTCACTTATCGTTTTATTTTCATAGTATCCCAAAAGGCCTGGGTTGCTTCTAGGATATCTTGCAAAGCTTGCTTTAACAACCCTGCACATTTTTATTTTTTCTGAGACCTCAACACAAGACTCTTCTTTGCCTCTAAGTCTTCTTCCAATATCTTATAGTCTTTTCTTGGTTGGTTGTTATTCATCACTCTTTCTTCTGTGGTTTCCAATAACTAAAAGAGTATGTTCATTTATGAAATAACAGTTAATATTTTACTTTGCCACACGTATAACCAAAAAAACCACTTAGAATTCCTCTACAAGAGGTGATTAAAATATATGGTAAATGTTTAAATTTTTTAAAAAATTAGAGTAAAAGACAACTGCCATGGATGAATGACAATATGTCTTTTACTGTAATACATTTTTAAACATTTAAATAGTCACTCTATTTTATAACCAACATCTCGATTTTAGGAGCTGACACTGGTTTATACATTTCCAGGGAAAAACAAAGAAAACTTAATGTGCATGTCTGTGCCATTTTATTATGGACAAATATTTAATTCATTTTAGGTTTTTAAAGAAATACTGAAAAATAGTTAACACATCTTTATTATAGTTCAAGGACATATGGGCTCAGAGAGCCCATGCTGGGGTCATGCGTAGTAGCAGATTAAGTCTACCATGAACATATGTTGTTCTCGCCTGCCTTGACCCCCCTCTCTTCTGCTATGCATTCTTTCTGTACCATTCCACCTGATGCTAGATAAAATTGTCAATCAAGAAGACTTCACTCCTTAGGCTAAGTGAATTAGATGCACTTTCCAGAAAACAGATTTGAAAGCAAGGTCAGGAAAAGAATGAAAATAACTGGAGCTGGGTTACAATGTTAAACCCCTGAAACCACCCTGGCTCTTGTCCTCTCCAAGGAGCAGTTTGGAAACTCCGGGCCTTGTAATAAATTTTAACTCAAGAAGCTAAGGTAATTTTGTTTTGGTTGCACCCAAGAACCTTCACTGACACAGACACCAACTGCTGCTTCCTGGGAAGATGAGAAAAAGCAGAGAAGTGATGACTAAACCCAGATCAGAACAATATGTAGGCTAGTTCTGCTGTTTGCCCGTTAGCTCAGCAACTGTTCTTAATTTACAAGCACCAGAGCACATTCCTTTAATGACAAATCAGACAACCAATACCAGATTTTGAACCGTACCTGCCAACAACTTCCAAAATTTTCCCATACTCTTCACTTGGATTTTTTAAAGCTTTCCTTCTTGTGGTTATGTTATAAAAAAGGTCTTCCACCTGAACAGAAGATTAATTTTCTTGTAAATTCATAGAACTACACAGAAAGAAAGGCTCAAGTTGTACATCGAAATCTGGGTCTTAAGGTTGTGAATTTAAAGATATTTACCAATAGCACACTTCTAAGCAATGACTAGGGAAAAGGGAAAAGCATAGGGGAACACTGAAAAAGGAATTAATGGATATTTTTCCTGCCTCCCACACTGATTCACTAACTTCTAAAACATGTACTAGGGATTATCTCTATGTCAGGCTCTTTGCCTTTGCTGAAAATATGAAGACAAATTTTATTTTATTATTATTTTTTATAGGCACACCAAAGTGAGTCTTTAACAGGGCCTGTGCTGCAGCGCAAAGGCATCACTATGCAGGAGGGCGCCCTCCTGGACTAAAACCCCAGTAGTGGCTGGTGAGTGCTGCCTATAGCAGTTTGCAGGCCTGTGTCAGAGAGGGACAGGGCTGAAAGCTTGCTATCAATGCTGCATAAGCAAATAAAGGCCCTACATCCCACTGGATCTTAGCCATTCCAGGGAGACTTCTCCCTTCTTCAAAAAGGCAAGAGTAATCATCTGAAGGGTGGGAGTGGGGAGGGGCACCACACTGCCTGTGAAGACAAATTTTAAAGCACAGTCTTGTTCAGAAGACATATAATTTAATGAGACAGGCATATGAATTTGTAAACAATTAGGATATCACGTGACATTCAAAGATATTTTTCAAACTGAGGAAAATCATAAAATTTCTGAGATCTTGGGCACCCTGGTCAGGCCCCCTCTTAGCATGCATTGCAAAACACAAGTTTATTTCTGCCTCCTACCTGCTTCAACATACCCAAGAATTGGAAAGGTACATTGGCCTTCAAGAAGGTGTGCTTTAAGCTTAGACTAATAGTGGAAGGGCAGAGGCATAACATGACAGCAGGGTACATAGGATCACAGAACAGAGGGATGAAACTCTATAGAAATGAGGCAGCACGTTGGACTTCTTCCCAACCACTGAAACTCTCATATGATCCACAAAATAAAGCTCGAGGCAGGGATTCTTTGATCTATTTGATAGATGAGAAAATGCACAGTCAGGGATAGTAAGTGACTTGCTTCCAGACACATAACCATTGACTGACCAGACTCAGACTCCAAATCATGTCTTCAGGAGTCAACCTTAATGTTCTTTCAATGCCAACTACTCTGGCACTGATTTCTGCCATCCCAATAATCTCCCAGGCCCTTGGAAGATTTAATTAATAAAAATTCATTTCATTATTACCTAAACAGCTCATGGCCAATTTTATTTTAATATTTATGCAAAGCTCCTTCCCACCAATTTACATTCCCATGTACCGTTCTTACCGTGATCTGGGTCCCCTGATTGCCTGCACATGGTTTAGGAGGCGCTTTCAGCTTTCCATCTGCGTAACTTGCTCTAATCAGAGAATAAATGAGATTATTAATATCTAATAGAAATAGATATTTACCCAAAGGGTAAACAAAGAAAATTATACCAATAATAGATTAAACATAGCCACATTATATATTGCCTTTACTTACCATTTTATTTTCAACTATTTCTATAATCATTTTAATTGAACTTTTTAAAAAATCCTGTTATAGCAAATCTTGTTTTTCAGTTGCTGAGTTCTGAGCTACTACACATTAGCTGTGCAATTACCTAAGATAACAGATAAAATATTCTATAATTATGCAATCATTTATTGAGGAGCTACCATATACCAGGCCTTCTGATAATAATAATAATAATAATAATAATAAAGTCTTAGACCTACAAGAGGACAGACTTTAACCACAATGCATAAAAATGTACTAAGTAATCTAGAGAAGGAACCATTCAACCTGGGCTGGGAGTGAAGGCAGGTGAAAACACTGGAAAAGAGAACAATTCAGCAGGCTTAACGCAGCATTGTCTCTGTCTCAAGCAGGAGACAGCAGGAAAGATCATACAAGAAGGGGAAAACATGACCACATAACCACAAAAGCTTTCATATACATGGCATTTGGAAATGTGTGGTGAGAAGAGGTTGGAGGGTGGACTGAGGGCACTGATTCCCCAACATGGAGACTCTCAATTTTATCCTGTTACAGAAGGGGAGCTACTAGGGATCCCTGGTGGAGCCTAACAACATATCCCTACAGACTTAGGAAGACATTAATTCACAACTATTTTCCTGGCTTGAGATGACTACAGTCTTATCAGCTCATCCACTTCCCAGGGCTCCCCTAGCACCAGTGCTGCAAGCTCTAAAATGCTTTCCTCCATTACTTTACATATTTGATGAAAAAGACAAGGAACTAAGCAGAAATTTGCAGGCTGGGGCCAGGGATACCTGTCTTCAGCTAGTGAATAGACTGTCCTTATAAGAAGAGAGGTGCAATTTTGATTCCATGAATTCCATTTTTGTTCTGTTCCAAGGCCATTCATCAGCCTTTGGAAATTGTGCCAGTACAATAGCCAGCCAGCCAGCCATGGAAAGGGAAGCCAGCCCAGATATGCACTTGGGAGCTGGAGCTAACAGAGGAACAATAAGCCATCAGCATTCCAGCTATAGCCCTGAAATAAGTCCAAAGTGATACCTTCCTAAAGGGCAATGGGGCAGAAATAATATCAGCTACCATTTACTTAGAATACCTATGTGTAATGGACACCTTGCTGAGTCCTTGTAATATGTTTTATCTTTTAAGAATCTTTGGAGTAAGAATATCATCTAATAATTATCCCTGTGCATTGTCAACTTATCCACAGGGAGGAAAGAAAAATTTAAAGTCTCAGACAAAATAAAGGAACACAAGGAATTTAGGGAAGATGGTGGGGTGGTGAACAGCAGTGAAACAGCCTCTCTGAGACTTGGTGTCCAGATGGTGGAATATAGTACCGTGAAGAGGAGGAGGGAAGTGGGTCCCCAGGACCCAGCAAGGATCTGAAACAAGAACTGAAGCCCACAGAGAGAGGGAAGAAAGAGACTTCAATGCAGAAGGCGGTGACAAGCAGCACTTTCTCCCTGAGCCCTGGACTACTGTCTGGGAAGGGTCACTTGAGCCTGTAGATGTACAGTAAATACTAGTGACCCTAGAGGCTTCTAGCTAGAAATGTATCAGTGGATACAGCACACTACAGTGGCTGGTGAGTTATATCTCTTCCGACGTTCCCCAGGAGAGGGAGATCGGTCATCATCTTGGAAAGGAGCCAACTAAGCTTGGAACTCAGAGAGCCATTTGCTGGCTCCATTTAGTGGCTCACAGTGTTAGGGTGAGGTGGAACCTGTTGAAATGGTCAGTAGGTCTAGCCAGCAGGGAGCCAAGTTTAAGCCACAGGAATAAGAAGTGTTGCAAGATGAACAAACTGGGTTCCAGCCTCACAGCCAGAAAATAGCCTAAATGTCAGTGAAACAAAAGGCATAGGATTGCTGGAATTATTCACTATGCTGCCATAAAGCTTGCTGGCTTGCTGGGATTAATCAACATGGATCTAATATGTCTGCGCACTCTAATCTACTTCTGACTACCAGAGACATACCCTGAAGTGAACATTTTTTTTCCTTTTCTTCTTTTCTTCATTGCTGGCTCTTATTTTATGAGTATAAACATTGTTTCTAGTTTTTTTGTTGTTGCTCTGTTCTGTTCATTTTTACTTCTTTCCCTCCTATCTTCTACACCAGTTCCACAAAGCTTGCATAATCTTTGTCCTCCAGCCTTGCTTCTACTCTCTTCTTCTATTTCTTTTTCCACCCTAAGTCCTTTAAAATTTTCTTCCTGAGGTTAAAATCACCACACAGAGGGCACATTTACGGTATAAAATTTTCTGGTTTGCTTTAGATTTTGTTATATAACCACAAATCTACTTAATATAGCTAAAAGTGGTAAATTAGTAGCTACCACTTTGTCATTTTCTAGGCTGTTTGATGCTATTGTTATTACAGACTATACTACTTTAGCCAAGGTGACATAATTGTTCTAATCAGTTGTTCTTCTTGGCATGCCAAGACTAAGATTTCCCAAAGGTCATAAACAATCTACAGGCCAGTGCCAAAGTGCCAAAGAACCAGGGGCTAGGACAAATAGACAACTTCTCATTCCCCAATAAAATGAAGAGGTAGGATCCTGCAAGTCTCAAAACCCAAAAGCCATGTATAATTGGAAGACACCCTTGAGAAGTAGTTATTTCTTAAAATTTTGTAATGACAGTAATAAAGCTACCTGCCATAAGCAATTTAAGTGCATCAAACAGGAGTTAAATTTTAAAAAGAAAATAAAAAAGAAAACCAGAAGATATAGAAGCAAGAGGCAGCTCCAGCCTTGCAGCTCATCAAAGGTAAACTCAGGGGGGAATGAGGTGGAACAATTCAAAGGCACCCATTTGGACTATCTGAAGCAACAACAATTTTAGTAACAAAGAGGATGAATGAGGCTCTAGAAAAAAACAAATAAAAAATAATTTCTTAGATACCTACAGAGATGGTGATCATAATGAAGGACATGGTTAGTGACTCTAGAGCAGATACAGATTTCTTAAAAAATAGAGGAGCTTAGGAAAATGATGGAAAACATGTACACCCAACATAGGAAAGAAATGGAATCCATGAAACAGACTGAAAAATATCCAGGAGATGAAAAACTCCATTGAAAGTATACACAGCAGAATGAGCCAGCCAAAGTGAGGACGAAATGTCAAATGTAGAAGACAGGATTGTGGTCAGTGACCAAGAAAAGAAATATTTCCTAAAAATAGCAAGGGATCATGAAAAATCAATCCAACAGTTGCTAGATGATGCAAAGAAGAACATAAGATTGATCGATGTCAATGAAAAAGCAGGAGATAGTGCAAATGAGATAAAAAAATCCTGTTCACAGAAGGTAATGGCAGAAAACTTCCCAAGCAGGGGAAAAAATCTGACATACACGTAAGTGAGGCATACAGAACTGCAATTAGACATGATCACAACAAATTTACATCACTGCATAAAATAGCCAGAATTCTAGAATTTCAACACAAGTGCAGAATATTAAAAGCTGTTAGAGAACAGACACAAATCATTTATAAAGGGAAGCCCATCAGAATCACAGAAGACTTCTCAACACAAACCCTCGAGTCACGGAGAGTTTAAAGTATTTCAAGCCCCAAAAGAAAACAACCTCCAGCCCAGATTGATGTACCCTGCAAAACTATCTTTCAAAACTGACAGAGAAATAAGATACTTCCATGATGAAGAACATCTGAAGAAATTCATGACTACCAAACCAGCACTCTGAAATGTTCTGAAGGAACTAACTATAGAAATGATCCCTGAAAGTATGCACTTTGAAGCTATACTCAAGTGAAATAAATTAGACATACGTGTAAATATTGCATCGTCTCTCCAGGGTAAGAAACTAAAAGTGTAAGTAGGGAGCAAAATGTATAATTATGTGAAATAAGAGAAAACTGTTCAAGAGGAAAGGGGAATGGAGGGAGGGGAAAGGAAGAAAAAGGAAAAAATGGAAACAGGGCTTTTGTAAATAAGGAGGGGAAGAAGGGTTGAAAGGAGAGGAAGGGAATGGAAAAACAAAGAGGAATCAAGATATATCATGAACAGGTACAAATTCCCTAGGATTAATGTGATCATTATGTATATCTAAATTGTACTGATAAAATTAAAATTTTTAAAAATGTTCTGAAGGACATTCTAGAAAGAGATAACAAGGACCATCAACCCCAATGAATTCACCAGGCAAGGCAAGTAAACAGAGGGCAGAAAAAGGGGAACCAACAACAGGAAAATAACATGACAAAAATAAATCAATAGGTATCAGTTATAACCATCAATGTAAATGGTTTCAATTCACCAGTCAAAAAAACCAGACTGGCAGAATGGATCAAGAAGCAAGATCCAACATCCAATATCCTGCATACAAGAAACACATTTGATTCAAAAAGAAATTTACAGCCGGGAATGGTGGCGCATGCCTGTAATCCCAGCACTCGGGAGACTGAGGCAGGAGGATCATCACTATGAGTTCGAGACCAGCCTAGGCTACATAGTGAGTTTCCAGGTCAGTCTCAACTCTGTCTCAA